AACGAAACTAATAAGTTCTTTTTTTACGAGACTCCTAAATTGAATTACGGTTTATGGTATCCTACCGAAGCATCTCTAGTTCGTTAATGTGAATGCGTTGCGTACCTTCATTATCTTGTTATGTGTCGATCATCGGACCATAGATATGTATGAAACATTAATTATGTTGTCTTTGGTCTTGCTTATACAGAAACCTTCGTATATTTGTCTGTCGAATAGGTTTTGAATATTTTTCAAAGCTCGATTGAGTGAGTTACTCGAGCATCGAACTGATTAATGTCGATTCTCTCCTATTATCCTGGTCGATTTTGTCCGGTTTGAATATTGTAGCTACTGCACAACTTAATTATTTTGATTATTGATTACAAAATTATTGATACACATCAATCTAATGAAAAATTGGAATTGTCTTGGTACCATGTTATATTAATTTAATTTAACTAATTTATAATTAGAGAGATGTCATAAATACACAATTGTGTGGACGATAAACATGTACAATATTTAACTTGTAAGAATAATATAAGTAAAAGGAATTGAAAATGATTTTTAATTTTACACATACAACAAATGTGAAATGTGTGTGTGCCTCTTAAATTAACAATCCTCAACCTGATCCTTTTCATCTGCGTCCTCCATATCTTCATGGAGGATCGCAAGAATTCTATTCTCGATGAAAAAGAAGAAAAAAACGATGACATTCGGATCCCGGACCAGGTTGCAGAAAACGGTACGACCCTGCCCGTTTCATCACGGGCCGTTTTCCATTCGGGGACGTACGTCGTTCAGGTCCCGAAAGATCAAATCTACCGGGTCCCACCTCCCGAGAACGCCATCATGTTAGAGCAGCGCAATCTGAAGAATCAGGATAAACAGAAGAGATCTTCTTGCTGCTGTTTCTGTTCTTGCCATTCTTGTATATTCAAGCTGGTAATTTTATTTCATAATTTAATAATCAGACATTCTCGTATTTATTTCATATTTTCTTTTCTTTTCTTTTAATGCAGTTTAGAGGTAATAAATCTGGATAAATCAAATCAAGAATGTGACAAAGATAACGGTGGGATCAAGCACAAATGCCACCAGCTTTTATTTTTATTAATTGATTTTGAGATCTTTCTTCCTTTTTCCTATACATATTCAATTAAGTGTATTTCTTTTTCTTCCACAACAATATAACTATTCTCATGCATTTAATTAATTGATTATTTTTTGTATGATTCTAATATTAAGTTGTAGTAATTAATTGGATAATTTTCCAGGAAAAAAATCACAAGCTTCTCGTTTATCATCAATCAGTGGCGGTTGAATTCGAACTCATGACATTTGATTTGGTCTAATTTTGATTCTGATTCAGCTTTTACTGTAATTGCATCATTTAATATTAATATCTCGAATATAATCAGCACAATATGTACAGAAACACGAGATATAATTATATAACCTCCAGCATTCCAACATTTAATTTGTCTGCTCCCTCCAAGCATGCCACTTTAATCACATGTAAATCAAACTTTCCAACGTGAACGAACAATTAATAATCATCGCCATTATCGAATTAATTACTACTTTTTTTTTTCTTCTAGTAAAAATATAGTACAACCTAGGTTTCGAAAGTAGCAATGTGGATACAGATAGATTTCTATCTTGACACGTATACATGAAAATCCAGTCCTAAAGTTTCAACTTAGCCGCCCCTGCTTCTTATAATTAATCACCAGATCTAGCTGCATATCTTGCTTTAATTTCGATTTTTCAGATAATTAATTACTTTTTTTTTTTAATCGATGAACTTATCAAACATTTCAATCATATATAAATAAATAAATGCAAAACAAGTTAATTAATTTATTACAACATTTTTTGTTTGCAAAAAAAATGTGGAGTCTTTTTTAATTAGTGTATATTCTTGAGAATTTTTTTATTTTTTTTTTATTTTAATATTACCAAGTTGCATCGAAAAAAAGATTGCCCTACTTAACTTTAAATTTGTAGAGAAGATCATGAATAATATAATCTGAGTGAAAAAAGTTGGTAGCTATATATAGTGTATACTAAAAAAAAATTAAGATGGTACTTATGGAGAAGGGGAAGGGAATTAATTAATTAATTAATGCCCTTTCCTCCAACCAATAATTGGTGTTTATATGGAATATAATTTATTTCTAATTAAAGATTAGTGGTAACCATTCTTTACAAAAGAGTACTAACTTTTTTTATTTTATTTTTTTCCTTGATTTTAATATATATTTTTTAATTATGATATTTAATAGAAAAATATATTTCCATGGAATGGGAGCATGTTGGTGTACTGGTTCACATATACCAAGCACTTAAAGTGGAGTCCAACTCCTCCTTCAACTATGGGACTTTATTTTATTTAATTTTAATTTAATTCTAATTATAAATTCATGGAAAGTGGGGTTTTTTATTTGTTCTATCATTATTGATTTAATTAGAGTCTTACATTACAATCATGTGGCTTAAATGCTTCTTTTGAAACCAATAATTGCTGCATAACTAAAACTGAATTAATTAGTGGGTGGGAGAGCAATAATAAGACCCCTAACTTCCTATAATTATTACATAATGTGACACCTTAATTATGATCAAATGACTATTAATCTCACAAGTTATGTTTTTCCTTATTGCAATAATGAATCAAAATAATTACAAGTCTTTGTACTTGTTATATATATCCTAATGCTAGCAAACACACTGAATTAATGAAATCTTTTTGATTTAACTAAGTTCACTCAATTTGCCTCAAGCACTAAAATAGGGTTTAATTTCAAATTTCCATAATCATGACTCTATTAAAATACTATATTAATTAATTGACCAATGGATAGTGATTAACATGCAGGCACAAAAGATATGAATAAACATGCTAAAATACATCAATATAATTATTGGAAACAAAAAATTAGTAAGTAATTAATTAAGATTCCTCTTTAAATTAATGGATTCTGGATAAACACGGAAGCTAATTTTATAATTATTAGATTAGTATTCCCTTAAAATGAAAGTACATTCACTGTAACATAAATATAGAGACATTAATTTGTATTGGTTGAGCATTGCTGCAGTTTTTCTGACTCCCAAGTGTCTTTACAACTGTGAAGATGCTTAATTAATTATAGATTAAAATTGATTTAATTAAGTTTAAGTGTGTTTAGTTTCTTAAGTAGAAAGGAAATGAAGAAAGGAGGATCAAGATCCACTGTTTTGACCGCCTAAAGTGATGTAGCTTTAATAATAATAATAATAATAATAATAATAATAATAATAATAATAATAATAATAATGTTGGCAGTGAATCAATGCATGTGCATGCCATCCCCTCAATCCTAGGAACTGTCCTACGTGTAACCTTAATTATTGGTTCCTAATATTCCTTCTATTATTCAATTTTTAATTAATTATACATTTTTTTTAAATAATTAAGATGTTGTTTTCTAATACGAGGTCTTAGAATAATTTACCATTAATTTTGTGGAATCTTTGAATTGCGTTTAATATTTGATTAAACATGACATTTTGTGTGTGCGTATGTGTGTATGTGTGAGAGAGAGAGAGAGAGAGAGAGAGAGAGAGAGAGAGAGAGAGAGAGAGAGAGAGAGAGAGAGATTCATGATTAAACTTGCATTAATTTTGTAGTAGGAAGTAATTAAATACAAAAAATTACCATTGATTTTGTGGAATCTTTGATTTGTGTGTAATACTTGATTAAAAATGACATTGTGTGTGTGTGTGTGTGTGTGTGTGAGAGAGAGAGAGAGAGAGAGAGAGAGAGAGAGAGAGAGAGAGAGAGAGAGAGAGAGAGAGAGAGAGTTCATGATTAAAATAGCATTAATTTTGTAGTAGCAAGGAATTAAATACAAAAAAACACACTCCCTTTGGGAAATAATACAATAAAGAATACATATAAATTCAAACCCAAACCCCTAATAAAACATCAGGACAGGGTTAGTTAATTAGTATATATCCTCTATGTTAACACTTAGCACACAAGCTAATATATAATTATAAAAGGATTAAGAACCCTGAAATGCTAATTAAATAATTAATAATGCGTTAAACAATAATTAGCAGTAGGGACGACAAGTTGTTTTCTTCCACTCCACCAAACGTTTGAGGAAGTGCATAACCTGTCAAACATGAAACAACATCAACTTGTCAAGATTTATAATATATAATATATTTATTTAATTTTCGTCACGTTCGTAAATACTTGCCTCCGATGGTTCTTGCAAAGTGTACGAAGCGTTTGTTTCCTTAGGAGTTTTCGATACTAGAATCCCTATACCTTGTCCTCTGTTGCGCAAAACCTAATCATCAAACATAAACGCGTTAATTAAGTTGAAATAACTTCAACGATTATCGAAAATCGCAAAAATTGACTATTTTTTGTTTGTTTACTTGGAATGCATCTTCATCGGTGCGATCGTCGCCTATATAAACGGGCAAAACATCGTCGGAATCTGCATAGCCTAAAGATTCCAACAAGAACTCAATTGCATTTCCCTTGTCCCATTTAATCGTAGGTCGAATTTCTAGAACCTTCCTCCCTTGACTCATTCTCAGCTCTTGATAATCCCTCATCACCGATTTTACTTTTTCGGCTAACTCACCCCATCTCTGCTTGCACCGATTTCAAAATAATATTGATCAATCATTTTTTTTAAATTTTTTTCGTAATTAAGATGTAAGAAAATTTCGATACCTTTTCCTCGACGCAGCGATAGTGCACCGACAGACAAAACTTGTTGTTCTCAACTTTGGCCCCTGGTATGTGCTTCATTTTTTCTATTAAAGACTTGAATACCTTAAATAAAACAAAATAATTAAAACATTAATTAAGTTTCATAAGTTGAAACAAATAATAATACATAGTAAAAAGAAACCAGGCCAACCTCATCAATCATAGGCAGAAATTCTCTGGCAGGCTGGCAGAGGACTGTTTTATTTCCCTGAATTATTATTACCAAACATAATAAATATGAAAATTGAGCAAGAAAAATATTTATAGCTACCATATAAGAATTTAGTTTATTTGCCAAAAATAATTACTTTTCTAGGTCCTTTCGCAGGTCCCTTGATGTCCATTCCGTGACTACCCGCGTAATAAAGCTCCGACAATCTTACGAAGTTATAAACCTGGAAAAATAATCAATTTGCAACGAAATTTTTTCACTCAGATTGTAATAACAAAGGCAATAATATTCAAAAACTAAATTAATAATTGGATTATAGTATTTGTTTTAATTTTCAATATTATGCCAAATGTACCTTAGCTCGGCACCTTCCGCTCACAATGGCCGTCGGGAAAAACTTCGCCACGTCCCTCACAGCTTCTCTCATCTGAAATCCATATGTAGGAGAAAAACGATGAATTAAATAAAAAAAATGCAAAAAAAAAAAAAAAAAAAAGTCGAATTTTACAACGTTTATAGTAAAAAATATATAATACTCGGGAAATGAAATTAACGAAAACGAACCTCGGTCGTCATGAAAGCGCGATCGGGATCCTCAACAATGGGAGACAAAGTGCCATCATAATCAAGAAACACTACTATTTCTTTCCCCTTTGACTCACCCATTATTTCCTCAAACATGCTCAAAGCTGATGGATGATGAGCCTAAATATAACCAATATTAATATTAATAATCATAATTAAATACTTTTCAATTTTTTTATTTTTCTTTCTAAATTTGGGTTTTACTTACAGTCCAAGAATTTGGATCCGGGTCGGTATCGTTGAGCCTGGTACGGGTAGGGGAAGAAGCCCGCATAGAGTCGAGCAAACGGGCCCCGTTTCCGCAACTTTCGAGCTTCTTGACCAACTTCTTTCTGGAGAAGTATCCATTTGGTGAAACCAGAGGCTTTGCTGATGAGAACAAAGCCGGGTCGGGTCGGGTAACTGTACTTATACCCATGGTTAACCCTGTTTTTGCATCCGAAACCACCATGCTTTGGTTTGTCATATATATATATATATAATCACTCTTTTTTTTTCTTTAATATATATAAATATACCTGCATTGACAATTATAGTAAAAAAATAAACAATATTATATAGAAAAACAAAGACTCTATACATATCAAAGAAATTAATGTATAATAATAATGGGATGAAAAATACCTGGAAATTTTATGGAAAAACAGAGGAAGAAGAAGGGTAAAGTTCTAGAAGGTTTGGTGGTGGAGGAAGAAAACAAAGTGAGGAGAGAGAAGTGAAAATCAGAGAGACAAATCACAAGTGATAATGAAGTGGTTTTTGGGGTCAATTTATAAGTAACTTCACACCCTAAATTAAATCAATTTAGCATTGTCACTATCATACTTTTCAGGTATTCATGCATTTCCACATATTTATTTATTTATTCTTTTTTTTTAATGAAGGTATTTTGAGAAAATCCTATAATTTCAAATGAGGGCACAAAGAATAAAATTATTCCCAAATCTGAAGTTTCCGGATTCCAAATATTTTAGATTTGTTAAAAATTTAATATTTTCCAAGAAGTTACTTTAGGATTCATGTGACTATTTTTCTTCATTTCCTTTTAGGTAAACTACAACCGCCTCCTGGAAGTAACGTGTAATTACGAACAAACTCCTTCTCTTTCAGAAATTACATCTAGCCCCTCTTGCAGTTTGTAAATTTCTTACAACCACCATCCGACAAAAGGGTGTTAATATAAGAAATCAACAAATTACAAGGGGATGGATGTAATAATTAAAACATGAGGGTTTTTTTATAAATACACTTTACTTCAGGGGTGTGATTGTGATTTCCCATTTCTTTTGTTATATTTTTTTGTAAATCACGTTTCACACCCCACGTGTTATTGAAATCACTAGAATGGCTTAAGGTGAGATTAATTTACTTCAACTTCTTGTACAAGATTCTCATAAAACGACCCAAACTATTTAATTAATTTATGCAAGAATTTTCCCAAAAAAAATTATTTTCCAGAAAAATATTATTTCATTTATTTGAGTTAGTTAAATTACTAAAATAACCCCAGAACGTTATAAATGTTATATTTGTGTCCCATCATATTTAGTGGTCCGAGCAAGTATTACACTTATTTTATGGAATAGATGGCCCTGAAAATGACACAACATAACACATTAGTAATCATCAACAATAACTACTCAAATTCAAATATTCATCATTTATTCTAGTTCACTAAAATAAACTAAAAACCTGAGAAAAAAATAAAATAAATAAAAATTGGTGAGGTGGAAAAGCAAATCACACCAATTAAAGTGAGAAAAAAACAATAATATTAATAATAATAAATTAATAATAATAATAAATAAATAAATAAATAAATAATTAAAAAAAAACCCTTAAAAAAATTTTAGCCCATTGAAATTTGAGCAGCACATATTTTTGGCACATGATTTAAAAACCAAAGCAAAATTCTTCTGGCCTTTCTGATTTCATTGAGTCATAAATATATTGACATCAAGAAAATGTCACTTCCTTCTGTCAGAGAATCAATTTCCCAAACCAAATTAAATTCACTTAGATTTTTACATATATATAAACATATAAATATTATGAAATAGGATTTATATTTAATCTTGAAACAATATAATTTGCTTACCGAAGAGTCTAATTACAGAAACACTGAAAAATGGTTTAGTTCATGTTGCATGCATATCAAGTGAAATACATTAAATATATCATGATTATTTAGAACACAAAAACACACACATCCATATTGGTGTGTTGATCATAATATGTTAGGCGTATATTTCACGGAATGTAGCATATATATAATTGACGTAAAAGTCTTCATTCGGGTCTTTTCTTTTATGGAATCAGAATTTTTTTATGTGAACAACTATTTTTTTTTCTTTGTTTCTCATTACTTCGAAATAATGTAACAAAGCAATAGTGGTTTAATTATAGTTAAGGTTCAATGTGTTGTAGTAAGGGAATAAAAAAGATTTGAAGAAGTCCTTTTTATTCATTTGTACTCCTTAATAATGTCTTGTTAGAGCATAGGAATTTGGAAAAGCACAAAAAAGAGATTCGTCGGTGTTGACAAAATGTATACATGCATGTTTTTCAACTAGAATTAATTCTACTCTATTTACGGGCTGAATGCATTAAAAAAATTTACAAGGAGGGCCAATAATGTTAATTATATACAATTTTTTTTTTTAATATTTATATAAAATATAGGAATTCGAGAATTGTTAGAGGGTCATGGCCCTGTTCTGGCCTTATGCCAGCTCCATCACTTATATATATATATATATATATATATATATATATATATATATATATATATATATATATATATATATATATATATGTGTGTGTGGAGTTCAAAATTGTATGATGAAATATGGTCAATACCGGAGGCTGGGAAGATGCTTAACAAAAATAGTGATGTAAGGATTTTCAAAAGAGGAGGTTAGGCAAATAATGAGATGGTAAGTTTAATTAATGAAGGTATGAATCTTTGCAAAAAATGGGAATAAAGCAACCAAATTATTTCGTCTCCTTTGATTCACAAAACCTAACTTTGCATATATATTAATGTTCGTGTACAATTGTATTAGTCCACATACGTAGTACATACTACCTAAAAGTCAAATAACACGACAAATTTGTACTTGACTTTATAGATTTGGTATGCATTTTATACAAATAAAATCGGGGAAGAGAAATACAAACAATAGTAGTTACAACATGGAACAGAACTGTTATTGTTATTGTCAGAGAATATTATATTATAGAACTCTTGTAATATTAGGATTCTAGTATGATTGAGTTACTTAGATTAGTTAGTATTTAGTTACCTAGTCAAACTCTATTGCCTTGCAATATTTCTCTATATATATTCCATGTAATCAACCCATAACATAATGGGGGTTTCTATTATATTACGTATTATTATTTCTCTATTTCTCCTCTTCCATTCTTCCTATAGTTATTCAAAGCAGTTCAGTCCATTTTTGTTCAGTGTACAGTCTAAAAATTCGAGATGGTGGCGACTTCAATCGGAAGCTAGCTCTAAGTCACAACCAGTGAACCCAGAAACCCCAGAATTATTCATTACTAAGACTGAGTTGACTTACCAACTCATGCAGAATCAACCAGTCAAATGGAACATTGTCACACTCATTAACCCCGGTTTTCTCTCACTCGACAACTCAATCATTCATAGAAGAAAGAGATTGAAAGAAAAAAACTTAAAGATGCGTATAGATTAGTGTTATATTTGTCACGTTAGTCAAAAAGTTAAATTATTTAAACACTTCGGTCAAAAAAGTTGCATGTGAAGTAATTTCGATGTAGTGTCATTGCAAAGCACACTACAATGATCATTTGAATATTTATTCTTTGTTGAATTAATTATAGATTATTTGGATTGGAGTGATTCAGGTTAAGGTACATGATAAGCACTAATTATGTAAACCGCAATACCTGTAAAAACTAACAAAAAAAATGTAAAATAAAAATGAGTTCAATTTACGGTAGGGCCCACTCGAAAGTGGCTTAGTGGGCCCAATAAAATGATTTATTATGGCCCACTAATCATACCTTCAGGCCCAAAATGCTCGACCCACTAATGCCACCACTCACGCCCAAAAGTAATTTCATTTTTCTATTTTACCAAACTATCCCACTCCACAACCCCTTTGAATGAAAAATTAATATTACTAGTTCTTCACCCGTGCGTTGCACGGAGGTCAGTTTTAAAATGAGAAAAATAATAATATGTAAACGACTATCTCTTTATAACAACACCAATTCAAGTAAAACAAAATGGAAGGAAATAAAAAATTCATAAACTTTATCTCTTAATTCAGAGTTTTAACATATGAAATTAAATTAAATATACAACGAAGATC